CTGCTTCAGCTGAGGCTTTAAAGATGTCATTGCAGTAGATTGGAGTGTCTTGTGAGTGTTGTGTTCTGGCTGTTTTCTCCATCTGTAAAACCTCATGTTCTTCATTCACTCCTTCTCTCTCTCCCTCTATGATGTAGAGCTGTGTGTAGATCCTGTTCAGGAGGCTTTCATTCTCCTGGAGTTTGGTTCCCTCAAATAATCTCTCATACTTGTTCTTCATACTGGTTGTGTGCTGGTCTTTGAATGTCTGCAAGTCTCTAGTCTCTAGTGTGTGTTTATGCATGACTGCTTCTGTGTTGTCCTGCATGATGTGGGTCTGAGAGTGAGATGTAGAGGATGGCAGAGATCTGATCTGTTCATGTATCTCCCTCCTGCTGAAAAAAATAAGCAGCAAAAAAAGTAAATTGCATCCTTTATTTTTTAATCCATATTAAAACAAATCAGTCTCACTAGGCCTGCCGTTTTGGTTTTCTATGCAATGTGACATCACTGCTGTAGTGCTACTACTATTCTGCTATAGTTTCTGCCTTCAGTGGCTGTCCTCCATTTTCTCCGCGTTCGAGCAGCTGTAATGTAAAAAATGTCTCGTAAGCAATCCCGATCCTCTGTGTTTGGATGTAATACTGAACATAAGAGTCTTAATTTTCTCCCAACATCTGAGCCACTGAGGACACTTTGATTACTTGTTTTTTTAAGGTAATGCACCTCAAAATCTACCTACATACGTGTATGTCTGCACAAGTCATTTCACTCCAGACTGCTTTGTGAATATCATGTCATAGTGCTTACAGTTTTGACCATATTTGTGTGCTTACGTTATCGAAGTATTTTAACTGATCAGCACCGCGCTTGTGAGATTAGTTCGTGCCACACTGTCCATTCGGTAGCGCAGCCACACTGATGACAGGTCAGCGTGGCGCGAGCTCTGTAACTTCGTCCCACTTTCAGTGCATTTTGCTTCCCATATATAGAGCTGAACACCGATTCTCTCGCTCTCAGTCATGTTGCTTCTACCATCTGTTTATTGATGTAGGTATGCAATGCAGAGAGACGTATACGCGTCACCCAAGGGGACACCCAAGACCAATATTATATCTTGTAAAAAGGGGCATAATAGGTGCCCTTTAATTGAATAATGTACATACTTTTAAAGTTTGGTTGGGGGAAGGGAACTGGAATACTGGACATGGTTATGCAGTGAATGTTTGAAATAGCACTTAGGGGCTGTTCACCTGTAGGGTTGGGTATCATTTTAATTTGATCGATTCTAATTCCGTTTCTGCTTATCGATTCCTAGTTTCGATTCCAATAAGATAAAAAATCCAATATATAAAAAAAATTAAGTCAAACATTTAGATGTCAAACATTTATTCTGTGTCTTTTTACAAAGCATTTTGGTGCAGCTGAATAACATGAGCAAAATCAACAGCCTACAGGACACTGCAAGAGGATCTTTGCCAATGATTTTAAACAAATACCACAGCAAAAACAGCTAGATTAATATAAATTTCTAATATTAAAGTGTTAAAGACAAGTAAACAGTCAGTAATAAAATAGGAACAAACAAATCAATTAGCAATAGTATAAATAAATACAACTGAACCAAATTTCAGGTACAGAAACTGTAATTAAAAGTTTAAAAACACTGCAGTGTTTTCTTTTAATAAATAAAATCTAGAATAAAGTTATTAAATATATTCAGTCAAGATCAGTGAATGATTTTCTTTTGTTCTTTGATTAACATTAATGACAGGCAGCACTTTTATTAGGCTGCGGTCTCTTTAACACCGAACGCACGCGGATCTAAAAATACTGTACACATGTGTTCATCTGTTTACTTTTACTTAAGACAAAAACGGCTGTGTTTATGATGATATACTGACAGGGTTTTCTGCATATTGGTCGACAAATATGAAAGAAGACCATTTCGGCCCGGAACAACCTTTTCTAGTGGAAATACACGGAGCGGTTCGAGAACGGACACAAACCGGGAACCCGTACCGCGACCTCTGTTCTCTGTGCTCACGCTTGCACTTCATGTGCGCTGCAGGCAAACAAGGCGCAAGTTCTTTCCCTTCCTGCAATTAAATCGTTTTAAATCACATTACAATGCGAACGCAGGAATCGTTAAGCAGAATCGAAATGCACGCGTCTTATCGAATACCCGGTTCTTGGAAATTTGGAACAGGTTCTAAAATTGAACCGGTTTTCGATACCCAACCCCTGTCGTGTCTAAAAATATGTGGATGTTCTCCATAACAACGCAGAATTTACAGGGAAGGATAAATGGATTTCCAGCACTTGCAGAATCACTTGCAGTAGCTCTGCTACTAAATTTATTTTTAAATGGTTATCTTTGTACAGTTATGATCATATGTTCCTCCATCTTGGCTGAGCTTTCAGTGTTGTTACAGAAAGGGTAAAACTGATTGGTTGGTTCTTGTCACATGAGCTGCGGGGTCAGTGTTTGGCAAGTTACTCTGAAAATGTAATCTGATTACTGATTACTCCTTTTAAAAGAAATCACGTTACTGTTCTGATTACTTTATTTCAAAAGTAATTAGTAATTAGTTACATTACTAGTTACGTTACTTTTTTCTCCATGAAATTTATGAAATCCCAGCATACACGCTCCCGATAAATATTTGTTATTAAAGCATCAACATTCACAGAACACTGTTATGTTTAACTAAAGCAAGCGGCTGCTGCGTGCATGGTTTGGATGGCAGAATGCCAGCAAAGAGCACTGCATTTATAATCTCTAAAAGACATCCCAGTTCATCGCAATCTGCAATAAATACATAATGAATCTTTCATAATGTCTACAATTCGTGTGTTATAATGAGAGGATTCATGAGCAGGCAAATTTCAGCACTGCATTGCTCAACGCTGTAAAACATGTGTTATAGCCTAAATAGAAACTCTGCATACGCTTGCACCTGTTAATCGTTTATATTTGATCTTTGCCAATGATTTTAAACAAATACCACAGCAAAAACAGCTAGATTAATATAAATTTCTAATATTAAAGTGTTAAAGACAAGTAAACAGTCAGTAATAAAATAGGAACAAACAAATCAATTAGCAATAGTATAAATAAATACAACTGAACCAAATTTCAGGTACAGAAACTGTAATTAAAAGTTTAAAAACACTGCAGTGTTTTCTTTTAATAAATAAAATCTAGAATAAAGTTATTAAATATATTCAGTCAAGATCAGTGAATGATTTTCTTTTGTTCTTTGATTAACATTAATGACAGGCAGCACTTTTATTAGGCTGCGGTCTCTTTAACACCGAACGCACGCGGATCTAAAAATACTGTACACATGTGTTCATCTGTTTACTTTTACTTAAGACAAAAACGGCTGTGTTTATGATGATATACTGACAGGGTTTTCTGCATATTGGTCGACAAATATGAAAGAAGACCATTTCGGCCCGGAACAACCTTTTCTAGTGGAAATACACGGAGCGGTTCGAGAACGGACACAAACCGGGAACCCGTACCGCGACCTCTGTTCTCTGTGCTCACGCTTGCACTTCATGTGCGCTGCAGGCAAACAAGGCGCAAGTTCTTTCCCTTCCTGCAATTAAATCGTTTTAAATCACATTACAATGCGAACGCAGGAATCGTTAAGCAGAATCGAAATGCACGCGTCTTATCGAATACCCGGTTCTTGGAAATTTGGAACAGGTTCTAAAATTGAACCGGTTTTCGATACCCAACCCCTGTCGTGTCTAAAAATATGTGGATGTTCTCCATAACAACGCAGAATTTACAGGGAAGGATAAATGGATTTCCAGCACTTGCAGAATCACTTGCAGTAGCTCTGCTACTAAATTTATTTTTAAATGGTTATCTTTGTACAGTTATGATCATATGTTCCTCCATCTTGGCTGAGCTTTCAGTGTTGTTACAGAAAGGGTAAAACTGATTGGTTGGTTCTTGTCACATGAGCTGCGGGGTCAGTGTTTGGCAAGTTACTCTGAAAATGTAATCTGATTACTGATTACTCCTTTTAAAAGAAATCACGTTACTGTTCTGATTACTTTATTTCAAAAGTAATTAGTAATTAGTTACATTACTAGTTACGTTACTTTTTTCTCCATGAAATTTATGAAATCCCAGCATACACGCTCCCGATAAATATTTGTTATTAAAGCATCAACATTCACAGAACACTGTTATGTTTAACTAAAGCAAGCGGCTGCTGCGTGCATGGTTTGGATGGCAGAATGCCAGCAAAGAGCACTGCATTTATAATCTCTAAAAGACATCTCAGTTTATCGCAATCTCACAAACCTCTGTTATAACACAATAAATATATACATAATGAATCTTTCATAATGTCTACAATTTGTGTGTTATAATGAGAGGATTCGTGAGCACGCAAATTTCAGCACTGCATTGCTCAGCGCTGCAAACATGTGTTATAGCCTAAATAGAAACTCTGCATAAACTGGCGCCTGTTAATCGTTTATATTTTATATGAGTTCATGTTGCTTTTGTGCAATAGATGAATAACAATTTATTTGTTTTAGATATTTTATATTTAGATATTTCAATTTTGCGTTTAACTTCTTATTTAGTAGGGGTCATTTTTTAGGATTCTTTACACAAGCAAAGTCTCTGAGAACCTGACACCTTGTACTTCTGGAGACTCAAGGTTGCAGTTCTGGAAAATAGTGGCACTGGAGACTAAAAGGTTCCTGATGGTTTCACACTTAATTCTTCACATTAATTATT